AATTGAAAATGAGGATGAACAAAATATTGGAAATATTGTGAAGAATGGTCAACATATATTAATAATCAAAATGGTAAAAATTCCATTTAGAGAGGTTGATGGTAAGAAACGCAGAAAGGGGAAATAGAAGAGGAACCATGGGAAAGGTGTAAGGTAATGGCATAAAGAAAAATAAAAAAAGTAACTTTTGTCTTTGAGATCTGGCATTTTTGGAGAGGAAGTAATCACTGTGAATATTTGTGTATTTGAAATAACTTTGGGGCATAAATAAATAATATCAAATAAATTAGAATTCGTGTAGTTATGCCGTTATTGAATCAATAGTCATAAACAAATGCTGTTTAGCACCCTCCTAAAGATTACAGGCATGAGCCACCATACCAGACACAGGTTGTCATTTTGAAATATCAGTTTATATGTGATATGTGAATAGCATTCCATTATAGTAGCTGATTGACAAACTAATTTGGTCAATAGGATGTCCACAACAACACTGTCTACTGTGTTACTGTATCTTATATTGGGCTATTTTTTAAAATTTTTTATTGCATTTTAGGTTTTGGGGTACATGTGCAGAATATGCAAGACAGTTGCATAGGTACACACATGGCAGTGTGTTTTGCTTCCTTTCTACCCTTCACCCATATATTGGGCTATTTTTATAAAAATAAGAACAATAAAACTACTCAAATAATCCAGGTAATTAGCAATATCTCTTAATAGATTGTAAATAAAGAAAGGTATTTTCAACTATTAGTAAAAATCGAAACTATAGAAGTTGAAATAATAGGTTTGCAATATTAAAGTGAACATTTCCATTGCATTTTTATAATGGTTATAGGTAAAATTATTCAACATAATACAAGTGGTATTTAGACTTTTTACGTGAATATTTTTTAATGTTAGAATGTAAAGCAGGGTACAGTCAATCTGTAGGCCTGTGAATATAGACCACAGGTTACAGTTCGTGCTATTTTCACCATTGATAAGCTAAGGGTAAGCAGCTACAAAGAATAAATACTAGGATAAAATAAGATTTCCTATTGTTCTTTTTTCCCTTGAAGAGCTTAAAAAAGGGTAATCATAGGCTAGTTATATTTCCAATTGGATGATTCTACCCACCTGGGTAGGATAGCAACCAGTTAATATTGTCTGATTCTTTGGGATTTAATTTTAGAGAAAAAGAGAGCTAGTTTCACTAAGCTTTCTTCGATCATATTGTGGGATAGATAGTAGAGAGGATTTAGGCATACCTGAGGTTTCAGCCAAGGGGATGACTAGAGTGGAAGGGAAAGAAAGTAATATGACTCAATGGAAAATGTTCCTGTATGAGAAATATTACCTGTACATTTTTATTATGACATAATCATAATGTTTTGAATATAATAATACGCACATAATTAATACTAACTAGCTCAGAAAACAATATTTTAATTACTGTTTAGAAACAATTCAACACCAGAAGCCCTTTCTTTCTGTATTCCCCATTCCAGTCACACGAAGTTTTACATTGTCCTGAATTATATGTTAAGTGTTTTCTTCTCTTTCTTACATTTTAAACACTAATGTTTGTGTTGTTAAAATATATGTTATATATGTTTGTTTTAGAATGTTACATAAATGAAAACTTATAGTATTTAGTTTTTGGACTTGATATGTTTGTTCAATATTATGTACAGAGATAAATCCATGTTCAATCATACTTTCATTTTCTGAACTATATAGTATTCCATTGCAACATAATATATTTAATGATTCTGCTATGAATAAACATGATACATTAGTATGTAGTGCTAAGAGTTCTTGAATGAATATGCTAAGGAGAATCATATCTGAATGTAGGATAATGGCATGTTTAAGTTTACCATTAATAACATTTTGATTTCCAAGTATTTTTCTTTCTATTTTACGAAGTGATTGAGAGTGTCTGTTATGCATTACCTCACTATCACGTGATACCATTAGATCTGTATTTTTTCACTGTTTTAGATTATGTAATGGAATTTCACTGACTTTAGTCAAATTTCTCTATTATTGATTTAAGTTGAGCTTATATTTATTTGGTTAGATATAAAAGGGCCTATTCATATTATTTGTACATTTTAAAAAATGGAAGTGTCTTTCTTTTGATTTATAGGATATTTTATTTTATTCTCAATTATCATATTTGATGCAAATGTCTTCCTCCTGATTATAGATTGAAATTTTATTTTCTTTGATTCATATATTAATTTTAATGTGTAACTATGAATACATAAAATTACTATGTTTAAATGATCATATTTGTATATATTATAAATATAGTCAATTTTCATAAGTTGTGGCTTTGGTATTTGTGAATTCACTTATTCAAACTCATTTGTAACCCTAAAATTAATATTCATTGTTTCATCATGGTCATTTGCAGACATTTGCATATCAGTGAAAAATTTGCGATGTTCAGTGTATACATTCCCACCAGAGTTTGAACTAGGTAACTGTCAGTCTGCCTTCTTGTTCCAACCCATATTGTAAAGAAGTGTTCTGTTCATGTTCTAGTTAGTGGCAGTACTCTTACAGTTTTGTGCCTTTCGTTGGCGATTTCTCTGTTTAACATGGCCCCAAACATAAATCCAAAGTGATGTCTAGTGTTCCCAAAGGCAAGAAAGCTGTGCGTGCCTTATGGAGAAAATTTGTTACTTAAGCTTGGTTTAGGCAAGATAAGCTGTTGGTCATGAGTTTACTGTTAATAAATCAACAATATATATTAGATAAGTTTTCTTTAAAGAGAAACATACATTGGTTAGGTATTAATCAGTTGAGAAAAACTTTGTGATCAGAGGCTCACAGAAAACTAACTCCGTATTTCTCCTAAGAGCACTGGCTCAATGTTTACTAATCCAACATTCATGGCCAGTTTATAGAAGGTAAGTATGACAAATAATGAGAATAGACTCACTCTCTCTCTCTCTCTCTCTCTCTCTCCCCGCTTCCGTGTGTGTGTGTGTGTGTGTGTGTGTTTACGAGATATAAGCAGATGCTGGTACCATGCCTCTTGTATGGCCTGCATAACTGAAAGAAAAAGAAACCTCTCTTCTTTATAAATGTGTATGTGTATGATATATGTGATATATATATATATATATCACAAATATATATCACACACAGACAGATATTTTCATTTGCATATATTTGTATGTATATATGCAAAAAAAAAACAAAGCAAACTCAATGGGATCTTGGGACCTGCTTAGCTGGCCAATAGAAAGTTGTCTATATTTACTACATTTGTATTCCATTTATGACATAACAGTGAATAGCAGCACACTGGATAGTAAGATCAATTTCAGAATATTTAGATCACAATATCTGTGGAAATGATGATCTTTTTGTGTCTTTTTAAGCATGAACATCCCTGCACTCTCAAGCTAGCAATTGTTATTATTAGAAAAACTACTAATTGCTTTGAGAAAATTGTATTCAGCATCACCTTTAGAAGTATATCAGCTCTTGCTAATATCATGTTTAAAAACACCGAAAGAAACCACCTTCTAGTATGTGGTACATGAGAACCACTTACCATAAACCTTCTTTTCATTTATCAAAGTCATGTCCTTTTCTAGGCGCAAGCAGCTGGCAGCATTGTTTCCCCGGAGGCATACAAACAGAACAGCATCTGAAACCAGATGAAAAATAAAAGTACTTATCCAAGTGGAAAATATGGCAAGTGTGTACATTATTTACGATACCAATTAGTTCTTGACTCAACAAATATGGTAAAATGTTTTTAAGTGTAGAGAGCTATAGAGGCCATGTATAGACACATAAATCCAAACGGAAACCTTATAAGACTGATCTGCATAATTTAGCCCAAAATAGTTATTTTATTTGAAATATCACTGACTAAATAAAACAGAAGTTGCAGTTGTTTCATTTTTCTGTAAGTCATAGTTTTTTTGTTTGAATTAACTAAATATATAGTGAATGAGGAAATCCTCCTTAAAGTATTTATGATTTTATTGTCGTTGTTGCTGTTTTCTCATAGAAAACATTCAATTAGACAATTCAGATGAGGAAACTGATTGTTAGAAGGAATTTCATCTAATCATCTTCTACACTGGAAAGTGTAGTGCTGAAATTAATAATTATTTCAGCCAGAATACAAAATTTCCGTTCATCTCACTAAATCAGGATATCTGAGAATTGATTGAAATGCAAGATTTATAGCATATTACTTTAGCTTTCCTTATAAAGCAAATTACTCTCAAATTAAATATATTTGATAAAGTATTGCAAAAATTCCATCTTGTGGCACTTTAATTTTCAAAACACAATATTCTTTCAGTGAAAGGAATGCTAGCATAAGATTTAATGCTAGCATCCACCTATTTAAATTTAGCTATTTAATCAGATATATTCCATCAAGTTACAGATGAATACTTAATTAAAATTATTTTGATTAACATTCTGGCTTACAGGAGATGAACTTTTATATATTGTGTTTATACAAACACAAAATGATTATGTTCATATTTTCAATAACTACTAATTTGTCTACCCAAACCTATTTCATATTGAAAACAATTTTTTAAGGTTGACATATCTAAAACTGAAAACATTTGACAATTAATATTTTGGTGATTTTCATACAGAATATTCAGTCATTAAATTACACTTGAGAAGAATAACTAATACTCAGGATTTTTACTATGTATTTAATATATATGTGATAAGCAGGAGAAGAGAAAGCTAAGAGAGACAATAAATAAATAAATAATATAATTTTTAATGATTTTTTCTTTATCTTTTATTCAATACCCAAAATCTTCTCACACAACCTTGAAATACATTTTCTGTAGAAAAGTTTAAAATCTTAAAATAGTTTATGATGAATAATAACAAATTCATTTTTTCTGTCTCCCCCACACACATACAGAAACAGAAATATATGGGACAAGCTAAGAGTACCCTTGCCGTAGTCCATCTGTGCTGCAATAACAAAACCCCACAATCTGGGTAGCTTATAAACAACAGAAATTTATTTTTTATAGTTCTGGAGCTTGAGAAGTCCAAGATCAAGACATCTGCCAATGAAGTATCTAGTGAGGATCCATTTCATGATTCCTAGAAGGTGTTTTCTTGCTGTGTGCTTGTCTAGTGAAAGGGACAAGTTAGTTCTCTGATCCCTCATTCATAAGGATATTAATTCCTTTCATGAGGGTTCCATTCCCATTACCAAATCACCTCCCCCAAATCTCCATCTCCTTTTATCATCACCTTGGGGGTTAGGATTTGAACCCATAAATTTGGTGGGGTCACAAACATTCAGACCAAAGTATTTCTTCATGAGGCACATAACATTTCCTCACTGAAGAGCTGTTTGTTTTTCATGAGAAAAATCAGTATTTCCACCGGGAAGAGTCAGTGGCTAGAACATATGCAATACGTTCAAGGCCAAAAAACAAAAGTATTATTCATGGTCACTGATTGGAGATTCAGTAGTTGACATGCATGCATGCATAAAGATCAAGCATTTTATTGGAAATAAATTTGTTTTTGATGCTTTGTTAAAACTATCACTCAATAGGAAGGTTGGGTTTTCATGACAATTATTTTATAGTTAGTGATTTTTTATATAACACATAGTATTGGAGGACACTTACATATTTTCAGTAGAAAAGTCTATAAAGATTGGATTCCAGCTCATTTCTGCTTTCTCTTCTACTAAGGAATACAGAGATGGAAAATAAAAACCTAGTAATAAAAAGGAGAGGGTTACCTGGAAGAGCAACAACATAAAGAAGATAAATGAGGCAGGATCGCAAGCAACGGCCTTAGTCAGTAAGCCATACTTCGGTTTGATGACCTTTTTCCAAAAGAAGCATATGAAGATACTACTGAGTATGCCAGTTACACTTGCCTTCTCAGTGCAGCACATAGCCATCAGTGTCTCACCTGCCAGGACAGATGTCCTCTCGGAAGAGTTGTTTTATATACATTTATTACTTTACTTTCTCACTAAAACTTGAATTAAATTTTTGTAGAAAAGTTTAAATTCTTAATCTATTTTAACTCTATGATGAATAATGACAATTTTTTTCTATCTCACAGATACATATACACAAACACATATTAAAAAGCTAAAAGTAAAAAGTATGTAAAAAACTAAACGTAACCTTGCCTTCCCTGGGCCCCATAATCTGGGTAGCTTATAAACAACAGAAATGTATTTGTTTTAGCTCTGGAGTCTGGAAAGGCAGGAGTCAGCTTACTTCTCCAGGTCCTCATTAAAACCATTTTTCTTCATTCTGAGTGACAGGGACAACTGATATTTGATTTGAAGAATATTTAGCAAGATGAAAAAATCAAATAGAGATCTCTAAACTTTCTAGGTTGTTGTGGGAATTTAATTTTTGGAAACAGCAGTCTCATATAATACAGAACTTGAGGAAAACTTCGTTTATTTTCTAGAAGAACTTGGATACTTCTCTGCTGTCAAAAGAAATGAGCTCTAGGAAATTTTCCCCATCTTGGTGGAAATAATAATGTGTTAAATATCTCTCAGTTGTACCTGGAAACTTGACATTGCTAAAAGCTTATCTTCTAAAGCAAAAGAAGTTGCATTCCACTGGCATTCACCTGTAATAAATGTAAAATGCACTGAGTATTACCTGGGAAGATGGAGAATTAGGTCACATGTCCAAATCTCTTCTCTTTTAATATACTTACAATAATAAAATTGCTGAACAAAGAGATGAAAATTTTATCCAAACTAAAACTTGAAAAGGAATTTTTAATATCCTACAGATTATGAAATAATTTTTCTCTATAATGAAATCTGGAACAAGCTCATAGAGGATACCAGCCTCCAATAAATGACTCTTTGCAACTGGAGTGCCATGTTCTTATCAGCACATAGAAGAGATTTTAAAGGACTCCCCTATTAATATTTTGAAAATCACAGAGGAGCTCTAACTGAAGGAGAAGCCAATCATCCAAGTGACTTGTTTTTAATTTTGACTTGATATTCTTAAAAAAAAAAGGCAAATGGTATGAAGACAAGATTGCTTTATAGCCGAGGACTGAGGTGATGGTATACATAAGGGCATGTGTCTCTACTCTCAGAGAAAAATAGCTTGGGATACACCACAAAAACAAAGACAGCACTGTGGACCACTCTCCATCAGTTTCTCACCACTGTAGTTGTTTAGTATAGAATAGGAACTTCACTGATATCTGAGGTTAATCCATGACGAAAAATTTAAGTACTGTAAAAGGATAAAACCAGCTCATTGCTTCAGATGATACATATTTAGAAATGAAGCATACATATGTCTGTGACTTAATCTTCAGTCAAATTTCCCTTCTTTTTCAGGCAACTGATAAGTTAGTTTCACACTGTACTGTGTTACCATCCAGGGACATAGTCAAATTTAATTTCTCAAGGTGAAGAAAATATGGTGGTAGGCTGATAAATTCAGTAACTATTGTTGAGCAAATTGCAGAGCTTCACAGAATTGTCTTAAAAGTTAATTTCATCAATCAGAGTAACTAAGGAAAAATTCCTAAGTATATTACAAAAAAAATTACTGTTTAAATTTATTATGTAAAGGCTTAAAATGACACGGTGTCTGTTAGCTCAATACTTACCTGTTTTTTATTTTATTTTGAGAATTACTCTAAGAAGTTATAGATAGCAGATAGAAAAAAATTTTTGAGATCAGAGAGTCTTTGAAATAAAATGATCTCAAGGATAGTGTGCAGTGGGAGATCCAGAGTGGAACTATGGAGAATAAATAACAGTGAGAGATGGAGAGGTGGGAGAGAGAGATATGGAGGTGGAGAGAGGGACAGAGAAGGGGTGGCACACATGCAAGAGAGAAAGAGATAGAGAGAAAATGAATGAGCACATAAGTATAAATGAAAAGAGATAAATCTCAGTAAGCAAGTTGTGTAAAAAGAACAGGAATTAGATCCTGAGCATTTTCCTGGAATAGCTCATCATGTCTATGGAAGTTTTCTTTTTATTACTTATTTTTTATTTATTTTTATCAAGGAAGTAGCTTTGCAGGTGAGAGGATGCCTAGATTCTAAGACTTACTGATGTACTGGAGGCCATTCCAGTAGCCTGAATGTATTACCGGATTTCTTCATCCTGGAACGCTGGTGATAGCAAGGATAATCTTTCTCCCCCTTGAAGAGCCAGTGTCTTAGTCCTTTTAGTGTTGCTATCAAGGAAAACTGGAGTCTGAGTAAATAATAAAGAAAACAGATCTGTTTCTCTCATAGTTATGCAGGCCGTACAAGAGGTGTGGCACCAGCGTCTGCTTCTGGTGAAGGCGGCAGGCTGTCCTCACTCATGACAGAAGACAAAGAAGAGCAGGCATGTGCAAAGAGAGCACTGAGGTGGGGGCAGGTACCAAGCTCTTTATAACAACCAGCTCTTACAGGAATTAATAGAGCAAGAGGACTTTTTACTGCGAGGATGGCAACAAGCCATTCATCAAGGATCTGCCTCCATGACCCAAACACTTCCTTTTAGGCCCCACCTAAAAACATAGGGATCAAATTTCAACATAAGGCCTGGAGGGGTCAAAAAATCCAAACTTTAGCAATTCTACCCCTGGACCTCTAAATTTTATCTCTTCTTATATATACAGTATAGTTAGTGCATCCCATAGTCTTCAAAACTCTTACCTTGTTCCAGCATCAACTCAAATGTCCAATATTCAAAGTTTCATCTAAGACTCAAGGCCAATTCCTTATAGCTGTGACCCTGTAAAATCAATAACAATGTTTTTACTTCCAAGATACAATGGTTATGTAAGCATTTAATAAACATTTGTATCTCAAAAGGGAGAAATGGGCCAAAATAAAGGAGCAAGAGGCTCCACACAAGTCTGAAACCTAGCAGGGCAAACATTAAATCTTAAAGGTCCAAAATAATCTCCTTTGACTCCATATCCCACACTCTGGGTACACTGGTGTGAGGGGTCAACTCCAAAGCCCTCAGACAGTCCTGTCCCATGGCTTTGTTGGGCACAGACTACACGAGTGCTCTCTTGGGTTTGAGTTTAGTGTCTGCTGCTTTTCCAGGCTGATGATGCATGTTGCTGGGTTGTCTACTCAGCCCTGCTCCCATAGTTCCACTAATCAGGGCCCCATTGGGGACTCTCTGAGGGTGCTGCACCTGCACTCTTCTACTCAGTATGAACTTAGTAGATTCTCTCTGCAAGGACTCAGCCCCGGCAGCAGAATTCTGCACGGTTAACCAGGCTTTGGGATATAGCCTCTGGAATCTAAATGGAAGTGGCCAAGGCTCCTCCATGCCTGCATTCTGAGTGACTGCAGACGTAGCACCATATGGACACTGCAAAGGTTTTCAGCTTATGCTTCAGAGCAGAGGACCAAGCAGTACCTGGGGACATTAAGCAGTGGCTGGAGCCAGAGCAGCCGGGACTTAGGAAGCAGCATCCCAAGGTGGTACCAGGCAATGATGCTCCAGTCCGAGACTTTGAAACCATTTTGTCCTCCTTTATGGGACTGTGATAGGAGAAGCAGATCTGAAAATTTCTGCAACGTGTTTGGAACTTTTCCCCATTATCTGGGGTTTTAGCACCTGGCTCCCATTTAGTCATGCTAATCCTTTTAACAAGTGGTTGTTCTGAAGCAGCATCACTGGATTCCCCTCTTAAAAATGCTCTTTCCAGGCTGGGCGCGGTGGCTCAAGCCTGTAATCCCAGCACTTTGGGAGGCTGAGGAGGGTGGATCATGAGGTCAAGAGATCAAGACCATCCTGTCAACATGGCGAAACCCCATCTCTACTAAAAATACACAAAATTAGCTGGGTATGGTGGTGTGTACCTGTAATCCCAGCTACTCAGGAGGCTGAGGCAGGAGAATTGCCTGAACCCAGGAGGCGGAGGTTGCGGTGAGCCGAGATCGCACCATTGCACTCCAGCCTGGGTAACAAGAGCGAAACTCTGTCTCAAAAAAAAAAAAAAAAAAAAAAAAATGCTCTTTCCTTTTCTATCACATGCCCAGGCTGCATGTTTTCTAAATTTTTATGCTTTGCTTTATTTTTAATTATAAATTACAACTTTAGGCCATTCCTTTGATCCCGTATCTGACTTATTTTGAAGGATTTTCTGCTTAGAAATTTCTTCCACTAGATACTTTAGGTCATGACTCTTAAGCTTGGCCTTCCACAAAGACCTAGAGCATGAAAACAATGCAACCAGGTTATTTTCTGTGGTTAACAAGGGTAACTTTTTCTCTAGCTTCCAATCAGTTCTATGTGAGATCCTGTCAGCTTGGTCTTGGTCTTTGCTTCTACCAGCATTTTGGGCACTACCACTTAACCAATCTCTAAGAAGTTCCAAAATTTCTCTAATCTTCTTGTCTTTTTTCAGACCTCCAAATCTGTCTATCTTTTGCCAAGTTCTAAAAGCACATTCACATTTTCTGCTATTTCTATAGCAGCATCCCTCTCTTCTGTACCAATTTTCTGTCTTAGTCCTTTTAGTGTTGCTACAAAGTAATACTTGAGTTTGGGTAATTTATAAACAAGAAAAGTTTGTTGTTCTCACAGTTATCCAGGCCATAGAAGAGGCATGGCACCAGCATCTGCTTCTACTGAAGGCCTCAGGCTCCCTCCACTCATTGCAGAAGGTGAAGGGGAACCAGCATATACAGAGATCACATGGAGAGATAGGGAGCAAGAGAGCAATGGGGGAGGTGCCAAGTTCTTTTGAACAATCAGCTCTCACAGAACTAACAGAACAAGAACTTACTCATCACTGAAGATGGCACCAATACCATTCATGAGAGGTCTGCCCCCATGAACCGAACACCTACCATTAGGCTCCACCTTCAACATTGGGGATCATATTTCAACGAGAGGTTTGGAGAGGTCACACAAACTACAGCAGTAAAGTTTTAAAAAGTGCATGGTTCACTCAATTTCTCATGTTTCAGTTAACACAGTTCAAGTATTGCCAATAAAAATAATTTTTACCATATTTTTACAATGCCTGTAGTGTGCTTTTGAACAGATAGTGGTTTCCTCTAAGGAGGCAGATAGTAAAAGCAAGAAACAAGAATGCAGAATTTATAAGCCACTCATCTTGTAGGGAAGACACAGACTGCAGGATACAGAAACAATTGCATCTGACCCTGCTAATTGACTGAGTTAAGTGCACCCAAACTTTGCTCTTTAAAACAAAATAGTGAAAATGTGCTACAGAGGCAATAGATGACTCCCTAGGGAGGAGACAAAAGACATGCTTCTCTGTGAGCTTTAAAGTGTTCATTATAAAAAGGAGAGATACTTATCCCTGTAATTCCCCCAGGAAAGGAACTGAGGAGTAAAGATGAAGATTGTAGGCATGAGATGAATTCAGGAAACATTTTCATTTCAGTGAGCAGCTGCTGACAGTAAATCCAGTGATAACTGTCAGGCAGTGATGGTGTCTTACTTCTTTCTAGTAAGCCTGATGAGAGCACCTTATACCTCCTGGCATACTTGTTCTTGTTCTATCTGAGCTTAATGGGGATTTAAACATTCACAAGAGAAGTTAAAGGCAAAGAAAAATGTGACAGCATGAAAAGGAAAACTATATTTTTAATGAACTTATTTTTTTCTATGTAACTCATCCTTATTTTCTAATTTCATGTTATAGGAAATATTTTTATATTATGAAAGAAAAACCACGATCTCATTTTATTCCTAATTTTATTATTGATCTCTTATTATGATGGAGACCCTTTAAATGTAAACTGCAATAAAAGGAAGAACTTAAGAAGCAATGGATATAATAATGATGTTAGATTGGCAGCCAGAAACTTGAAGGGTTAATGGGCTAGATTATTTTCCTCAAAGAGTATGTGATAATAAAAGGCAATTCAACGTTATAGATTTACAATTTAGACATAACTAAATATGGAGGTAGCACTATATTTACTTTTTAATGAATTTATTATACTTGTTTCTCTTGTCCAAAACAAAGGTAAACTCTTCAGAATCGTTTAATTACACTTACTGTAGAAATTAATATAAATTTTTATGACTGGGACATTCACAAATTAGTCTAACTATAATAAAAAAGCACTATGACTCAAACAGTAGTTTGTTAGATTCCTGTATATATTTTTGACCTGCCCCAAATATGCTTCTATACATGGAATTTACCTGAACCTTATAAGAGCAGCATTCCAACACTAGCCAACATCAAACCCCTCGAATACATTATTATATGTAGGTGGCAATACACTGCCAGAAACTGTAATGTCTCCACATGTGTCTCTAATGGAGCTGCTCTATCTCAAACACAGCATGAAACTATTTCTGTTTTTACACTGATAGTAATAGTTCAAGTTTATTCATTCTAGCAATCAAAACATGTTACATCAAAAATCTTGAAATAGATGGGTATGATAGCTGAAGCTTGTAATCTTGGGACTTTGGGAAACCAAGAAAGGAGGGTCTCTTGAGACCAGCAGTTCTAGACCAGGCTTAGCAAAATGGCAATATCACGTCATTACAAGAAATTTAAAAATTATCCATACTTGGTAGTCTGCAAATATAAGTCCAAGCTATTTGGGAGGCTGAGGTTGGAGGATAGCTTGAGTCTGGGAGGTCGAGGCTGCAGTGAGCTGTGATCACACCACTGCACTGTAGGTTGGTTGATGGAGGGATTCCCTATCACAAAAAAAAAAAAAAAAAACCTTTAAATAAGTGTTTTTAAAAAACCTAGAAGTATTTTATTTGTGCAAACTGGATATGTCTTTCAGAGTGCAATATCTATGTTAATATTTCTTGCTGGTAGCCACAATCATTTATATATTTTAATTTGCTGCTACTCTCTTAAACAGAATTATTAAAAGCTTACTACTGGGCTGGGCATGGTGGCTCACACCTGTAATCCCAGCACTTTGGGAGGCTGAGGTGGGTGGATCATGAGGTCATGAGATCGAGACCATCCTGGTCAACATGGTGAAATCCCGTCTCTACTAAAAATACAAAAAAAATTTAGCTGGGCACGGTGGCACGTGCCTGTAATCCCAGCTACTCAGGAGGCTGAGGCAGGAGAATTGCCTGAACCCAGGAGGTAGAGGTTGCGGTGAGCTGAGATCACGCCATTGCACTCCAGCCTGGGTAACAAGAGCGAACTGGGTAACAAGAGCGAAACTCCGACTCAAAAAAAAAAAGGCTTACTACTCGTTCTACTTGTGGATATCTCCCAGGACTTAAATCCCAAATGCCTATCTCTGGTGAACATGTGTAAACAAATTGCTTTATTAATTAAAAAAGGTCAAGTCACGCGTTTGACTATTTAGTGTGGAAATTTCTCACATTAATCAAAATATAAGCTTAGTAAGCAATATGCTATCCTAACTGGTTAATTCTATGCTATGTTATATTTCAAAGTAACTGTCTACCATCTCAGATTATCCCAAATATAAAAGAAATAACATATTTAACCCAAAGTTTGTGAAACTTTGCAGAGATTTGTTTAAATATCCAGTTTAGTTTTTACAATCTTATGTATATTAAATGGAAAATGATGACTTTAAATATTTTACCCATTTAGTTGCATATCTTCTCTCAATTTTTCTTAATATGCCTGAGACCAAAATCAAGGTTAAAGAAATTTAGTGAATGCTGTTAGAGACTTGAATTGCTTTTATAATTTTAAAATAATATTTTCTACTCACCTGTGCCCTAGCAATTAGTTTATTCAAAATAAAAAAAAGACCTTTTTTCCTTTAGAATTTTG